CACACACCCCACCCAACCCTACCCTGAAAAAAGTTAAAGTAATGATGTATGGATACTAGAGCCAGAAAATCCACCACTAGGGGCGCATTAGTTATTCCTTTGCTATAACAGAACACCTGAAATAGGGACTGGATATGTAGCTCAGTGGTAGAACACTTGCCTGGCATGCCTGAGGCTCTGTCGTACCAACCAAAGAATAAGTAAATAAACAAACAAGTACCAGAAGATTACAAAGCTAAACCCCTGAGACAGTAATCTACAATGGTTTATTTACCTCTTGGTTTTGGAGGCTTGCAGTACTTGCTGGAAGGTTTCACAGCTTTGGTCTCTGGTGGACGGTCACATGGCAATGGCTGGGGCACATGGCAAAGTACAACTACTGACTTCATGATCGCTAGCACCGTGTAAAAAGCTGGGTGAGGCGGTGGGCGTCTCTAACCCCTGGCACTATGGTAAAGGAGACAGCAGATCCTGGGAGCTCATGGGCAAGCCAGACTAGCTGAAAGGCCAGCTCCAGATTCAGTGAGAGGCCTCCTCTCACATAAGGTAGAGCCTTCTAACTTGAGCCTGGCTAAATGGCTCTTGCAAAGACGTGACTAGAGAAAGAACTGTAGTTCTGTTTCAACAAGGAGGTGACCCAGAATACACACACCCTCATCACCATTCACAAGCTCATCCTTAGGGTGGCCATCAGGAAGCACCCCAGGGCACTCAAAGAGACCCAGATTATAAGCTTAAAGGAGATGGGGGACTGGCCGGGCGGTGGTGGCGCACACCTTTAGTCCCAGCATTTGGGAGGCAGAGGCAGGTGGATCTCTGTGAGTTCAAGGCCAGCCTGGTCTACAGAGTGAGTGCCAGGATAAGCTCCAAAGCCACTTGAAAAACAAAAAACAAAACAACAACAACAAAACTTAGAATCAGTTTCTCTATGGTTTATTACCAGTACTTGAGTTTATTGGGATCACATGCATATTTCCCAGGCAACTAGGGGTTGTGATCAGCTGAGCATGGTAGCACATACCTGTACCCAGAACCAGGGAAGAAGCAAAGGTAGGATTGTGGTGAGTTTGAGGCCAGCCCAGTATACAAATCCAACCTCAAGACAGTCATAGTTATATAAGAAAATTTGTCTCAAAAAAAAAAAAGATTAAAAAAAAATAAGCAGGAGGGTAGAGAGTGTTAGTGAAGTTTTTCTGTTTTTTTTTTTTTTCTACTTGTTTAGACAAGGTCTCAAGTAGTGGCCCCTGTCAAACTGCCATGTAGTGTGAATGACTGTGGATGACCTTGAACTCTTGATTCTGCTGCCTACATTTCAAGTGTTGCCATTACAAGTGTGTGTCACCATTTCTTACTAGAAAGAGGAGTTTATGACTACAGCTGAAGCCTTTATGAATGGGGTGAGGTGGCGCACGCCTGTTAATCCCAGAATGTGGGAGATGGAGGCAGGAGAATCAGGAGTTCAGGTCATCCTCAGTACATAGCCAGTTTGAGGCCAGTGGGTGCAAGACCCTAGATCAAGAAAACCAAAGAATTTTTATGAACGTGAATTCTCTGGGTTTCAGTCCTATTACTTTATGTGGTATAGCATCAAAAAATAACCAAAAGATAGAGGATCCAGGCATATAATTCACAAAAATAATAACTGACCATGATAAAAATTTCAACTTCAACTTTAAATTTTTTATTTATTAAATAGTGTGTGTGTGTGTGTATGTGTGTGTGTGTGTGTGTGTGTGTGTGTGTGTGTGTGTGCATGTGTGTAAACCCAAGGCTTAGCTACATCCTCAGCCTCTGGCTCTAATCTTGGATCACCACATTCCCTATGCTAGCAGGTTTTTGTTTGCATGTGGTGCTCGAAGTCACACTCGGTAGTGTTCACACAGTTCAAGTGGTCTACCAGAGCTGTATCCAGCTCGGCTGTGAGGACTAGATGATTCTCTACATAATCTAAAGTCGGCTTGTTCACCCTAATGAAGATACTCACTATCTGTAAATCTAGGTTTGTTAACAGAAATGTATTTCTAGGGCCTGATTGTGAATTTGTCACTAAATAACTGACTGAGTGACTTTGGGCAAGTTCCACAGACACATTGAATTAGGGGCTCAGTGGCAGAATACTGGCCTGGCTCATGAAAGGCCTATCTTTTATCTCTAGGACCACGAAACAACCTCTCCAACAAACCCTGGACAGTACCTTTTTCATCCCTAAAAAGAGGGATTTAGATTAGATGTTCCATAAACTTCAACTCTAAGATGCTTACTTTGGGCCTAGAGTTAGCTCAGTTGGTAATGTATTTACTAGAATACAAGGTTTGATCTCCAGTACTATGTCAAGTTAGGCATGGTGGCAGAAGCCTGTAAGCCCAGCACTTGGGAGACTGAGAGGAAAGGACCAGGAAGTTCATGTCATCTTTGGCTACATAGTGAGTTCAAGGCCAGCCTGCGCTACAATGAGACGCTGTCTAAGTAAAAATTAAATGAATAAATAAAATTCTCATTTTGCCGGTTGCTTTGAAAAACCAGGCAGTGCAATACTAAACATAGCCAGCAGAGGTCAGGAGAAGTCCCTTAAAGCTCAGGTCAACTGTCTTCTTGGTTTGCAGGGTTCTGGGGCTGTTTTCCTTCTTGCTGCGTTTAGCCATGTATTGTGTGCTTTTTGCCTTATTGGTCAAACATAAAATCTCCCTCCCTTGATGGGCAAAGGAAATTGCCTTGCAGAAGGTGGTTTGTAGAGTGTTTTTGTTTTGTTTTGTTTTGAGATTTATTTATTTATTATGTGTACAAGTGTTTCTGCCTGTATGTTGCCTACAGGCCAGAGGCGGA